CTGCCCTGTGTGACAGCAGCCACAGCTCCTGATTCCCTGACCCCAGGGGTAGGCTGCTCAGGTTGGATCTGAGAAGTGAGAAAAAATAATCAGTCCATGGCCGGCCAGTGCGGCTCAGTGGTTGAGCGTCGACCAATGAACCAGGAGGTCACAGTTCGATTCCTAGTCAGAGCACATGCCCAGGTTGTGGGCTTGATCCCCAGTGGGGGGGTGTGCAGGAGGCAGCTGATCAATGATTCTCTCTCATCATTTGATGTTTCTATCTCTTTCCCTTTCCCTTCCTCTCTGAAATCAATAAAAATACATTAAAAAAAGAAAAATAATCAGAACTGTGAGTTTCACCTCTGTGTTTGGGATCTTTGGCCAGGGCCTAATTCCCCTCCTGCTGGTCCGTAGCCACTGTGGGCTCTCTAGCCCCTGCCGTGGGCTGAGTGTGCTGGGGGCGGTGGGCCCAGGGAGCCCCATTTTGGGGTGCCTCCTGGAAGGTGTGCATTTGTTTTTTCTTTAAACAATCTGTGATGTTTCCTTTCGTGCCATTCTAATGTTCTTCCCAGAAAGGACGAGCAGAGAGGAAGCAGGTACAGACTGGAGTTAGTCTTGGAGTTTCTGAGGTGGAACAGACCTCGGGATTAGATCGTTCAAAGCCACGTTGTCCACCTAAGGACACTGAGGCCCAGAGAAGGGGCGTGACCCCAACCAGGGACGTCAGAGACCAGCTTTCCTGTCGGCTTCTCTTCCCAGAGCCTGCTCACAGTGGCCTCTTGCTTTATTCCACTCAGCCCCGGAGGGAGAGGAGCAGGGCGGGGGCAGGGAGGGGGGACAAGACAAGTATGGCTGCCCGCTGGGCCACTGCAGAGCCACGGCCGTGGGCGAGGGAGGGAGGGTGGCAGGCTTTGGGGTGCAGAACTGAAGCTGGGGTAAGGAACGATGGGGCAGCAAGGAGACTGTGGACCCTGCCCTCTGCTCCCAGGCGCGACCCCTGACCCGCTACCTGCCCATCCGGAAGGAGGACTTTGACTTGAAGACCCACATCGAGTCCTCGGGCCACGGCGTGGACACCTGTCTGCACGTGGTGCTCAGCAGCAAGGTGGGCGTGGCCTGGGTGCTGGGCGTCGCCTGTGTGCGGGGAGGGGACCAGGGTCGGAGGCCCTCCTGGGCTTGGGCCAGGACCAGTGTTCTAGCTTGAAGAGATGTTGGAGACAGGTTCCCGCCCCACCCCCCCGCCAATACAGGCATAGGTGCTGGCACTTCTGTGAAGGTTAGGGTTCGAGGTTCAGGGAAGGAAGGTTCAGGGCCGGGCATTGGGTCCTTCCTCATTCCTGCCTCCCACCAGGTCTGTCGTGGCTACTTGGTCAAGATGGGCGGCAAGATCAAGTCGTGGAAGAAGCGCTGGTTCGTCTTCGACCGGCTCAAGCGCACCCTCTCCTATTATGTGGGTGAGTTCCCACACGGCTTCCCCGAAGCAGGCCTGGGCTCACCCTGACAGCTGGTCTTCCGGAAGAGGCCAAGCCCCAGTGGGGGCCACAGGCTCACTGGGTCTGTCCTCTCCTCCACCCCTGGCAAATGTGCAGAGTGTCCCTGGGTCACCTCCATGGATTGGTTCATTCATTTACTTATTAAACAAATTTTTTTTTATTGATTTCAGAGAGAAAGGGAGAGGGAGAGAAACATCAATGATGAGAGAAAATCATTGATTGGCTGCCTCCTGCACGCCCCCTACTGGGGATTGAGCCTGCAACTGGTCATGTACCCTGACCAGGAATTGAACTGGCCACCTCTTAGTTCCTGGGTCGATGCTCAACCACTGAGCCACCCAGGCCAGGCTCATCCATTTATTTACTCGGCAATTGCTAAGCATCTGAAAAGTTCCAGGCACTGTTCTCGGCGCTGGTGATAGCAAGGTGGCCGCAGCCCCTCTCATGGAGCTTGTCAGGGAGGCAGCTACTGAACAAAGCGCTAGAGCGTGATGGCTGGGGACTGGATCCTGGCGCCTGGGACTCATTCATTTAACTCATGAGCACCTACTGTGTGCTGGGCACATAGTTGGTCTCTGGATTTGAAGGAGGGTTCAGTTCAGCCTAATCTCCATACAGAGGAGATGCACACAGTGGCGACCCTGGCAGTGGGTCTCCCACATTCCTTAGCAGTTTGCCAAGGGAACGGGCTGGAGGCCATCCCAATGTGTGTGCAGAGCGCACTTTACAGGAACATGAGCAGCTCAGCCTGGCCAGGGAGAGCTTGGGGTTGGAGCAGGGGAGGGTGTGAGACAGGGCCAGAGGGACCTGTCGGCACCAGCCTGTACGTGGCCTTGGCCAAGCCAAGGAGGCAGCGGTGCCCGGGCGGAGCCGGCAGAGACGCTGTGAGCTGTGAGCCGAGGCAGCGGATTAGAGTCGCCTCGGGGAGCTCAGGCCTCAGCATCGGGGCAGAGGGTGTGCGGGGCCCAGGAGGGGCTGCAGCGGGACCGGGTCGATGACTTGGGCCGGAAAGGAGCCGGGCGGGGAGGGTGCACACTGCCAGCCACCGCCACCTGAGCAGGGATTGCCCGGATGCCGCCTTTGTGCTTGTCTGTGGTCTCTCCTTTACGTCCCGGGCTCGCTGTCCAGGATGTCGCTGTAGGGCCTGGGCAGTGTGGACCCGCAACAAGATGGCCGGCCCCCCGGCCCCCCCCCCAGCCACCTCCACTGAAGCGAGCCTCCTCCTTCCTGCCACCTGCCCCCAGATGCTCAGCACTTCCTTCCACTTTGTAATATTAGAGTCGAATAGGTGAATGCGTTCATATAGTTCAAGATCAAAACACAGAAAAGGTTTAAATTGGGAATTATGCCCCCACTCTCGAGAATTGATTTCTTCTGAATCCATCTAGTGTTCCTCTTGTTTTTTGTTCATTCTCACCTGAGGATATTTTCCTATTGATTTTTAGAGAGAGTGGAAGGGGGGAGGGGGGGAGAGAGAAACATGGATGTGAGAGAGACGCACCCGACCAGGGCCTGGGATGGAGCCTACAACTGAGGTACATGCCCTTGACTAGAATCGAACCCAGGACCTTCGGTCCATGGGCTGATGCTCTGTCCGCTGAGCCACACCAGGTGTTGCTTTGAGTGTTGCTTTAAGGGAAGGGGAACAAGCAGACGTGCACAGAGGGGAGCGCACCCCTTGTTTTCCTGAGAGTGCGCCTTAGAGGCCTTCTGCACCCGGAGTGTCCGTGTCCGTGTCCGTGTTTATATCCGGCTGCAGGTTAGAGCTCCTTCTGTCTGCAGAGCAGACGTCTGGCCGCCCTCACAGCTGCGGGGCCGCATACGTGGGCTGGTTCTCCAGCCCTCCCACGCGGGGCACCTGGGCGGTTTGCAGTCTTCTGTGATACAGACACGCTGCGGGGAGCGGTGTAAGCGTGTTAATCTGCACACGTGTGAGGTGCATTTTCCTAAGTGTGCTTATTGGCTCAAAGGACAAACGGGTCGATACAGCCAAACCACCTAGCCTCCCAGTTCAGACTCGCCCCTGCCTTCTCCAGACTTGACCAGAGCGGCTGTGTGACTTTCGTGTACTTCTGACTTCCGATAGGGGGTGGTGGTGTCTCCGTGGAGTTCTAACCCACCGTCCTGTGGGTGTGCGTGAGCCTACGCCCCCGCCCTGGGGCCTGGGCACCACCACTCCATGCCCCCCTCACCCCCAGCCTCTTCAGCGGGCCCTTGTTTCCTTTGCAGACAAGCATGAGACGAAACTGAAGGGGGTGATCTACTTCCAGGCCATCGAGGAGGTGTACTACGACCACCTGCGCAGCGCGGCCAAGGTGCGGGCGCCCAGGGACTGCGGGCACTGGGCAGGCTGGGAGCGAAGGCCTCCACCGGCCCTGCAGTCTCGGGCCGCCCCTCGCTCCCTCTGTAAACTTTCCCTTCCTTCCTCCTCCTCCCCTTCTCCAAAGAGGTTTCAGCTTCACTCTGGTGACCGAGGTACCCTCCCTATAGACCAGTGATGGCGAACCTATGACACGCAAACTCATTTTTCTGGTTGATTTTTCTTTGTTAAATGGCATTTAAATATATAAAATAAATATCAAAAATATAAGTCTTTGTTTTACTATGGTTGCAAATATCAAAAAAACTTCTATATGTGACACGGCACCAGAGTTAAGTTAGGGTTTTTCAAAATGCTGATACGCCGAGCTCAAAAGGTTCGCCATCACTGCTATAGACAGTCACTACAATTACCGCATTTTTAAATATATTTTTTTACTGATTTAAGAGAGGAAGGAAGAGAGAGAGAAACATCAATGATGAGAGAGAATCACTGATCGGCTGCCTCCTGCACGCCCCACACTGGGGATCGAGCAAGCAACCTGGGCATGTGCCCTGACCGGGAATCAAACCATGACCTCCTGGTTCATAGATCAATGCTCAACCACTGAGCCAGGCTGGCCGGGCTGCCTGCACCGCTTTTGCAGAGAGGAGAATGCATGAGATGAAACAGCCCTCACAGGAATGGCCCTTGGTGTCTGATCTGTGAAATTCTTTTGTGCCTGGGGTTGCTAAGGACCAGGGCCCCACCTGGAAGTACATGACTGACAGGTCCCAGGACTGCCGGGGCGAGGAGGGGACATCTCAGCTTGGACCACAGTCAAACCAGTGGCCCAGGAGCATCAGCTTGGCTGGTGGGGGCTAGGCTTCGGGTCCATGTAGGGCTCAGCCCCGAGCTCCAGGTCGTCATGGGGACAGGGTGGGGCAGGGTGGATGGGAGGCGGGCCGGAGAAAGCTGCACGTCTGGGTGGCTCTGTCTTAGACGCTCCCCTTTTCCTCCGCAGAGCCCGAACCCGGCCCTCACCTTCTGTGTGAAGACGCACGACCGGCTGTACTACATGGTGGCCCCGTCTGCAGAGGCCATGCGCATCTGGATGGACGTCATTGTCACCGGAGCCGAGGGCTACACTCAGTTCATGAACTGACGGGTGGGCTTCCTGGCCCTCAGGCTGGCCCAGGGCCCAGGCCCGACCTCCTGCTCTCTGCTGGCCCTGGACACAGTCACCCCCTGGCCCAGGCTGCCTCCAGGCGGCGTGTCCCGAGGCCCTGGGAGGGCCCAGCGGAGCCAGGCTTTTGTCCTGTGAGGAGCTCCTGCTGGGAGGTGCTGAACTCGGGCCTCCTGCAGAAGCAGAACCAGCCAGGGCTGGGGGCGGGGCGGGGCGGGGGGTGTTTTGCAGCCCAGGAGCCCGGAACTTGCAATAACCCTGCAGGGTCCTGCCCTATGTGTTCTGTGTCAAGGACAATTACGGTACCAGAATCTGCCAAAGATCCCCTCTTGCCTCAGCCTCCTTTGCAGGGGCCGTGGGGGCCCGAGCAGAGCCGCCTCCAGAGTGGGGTGCAGCTCAGGCAGTGCTGCTCAGGCCCTGCTCTCACCCATCGTCCGCCCGCATTTGTACTTTTATTACTTTGCTCAAGGGCCAGAGGCCTCATGTTTTATCTTTGAGGGGTCAGCCCCATCCCCTTTTTGCAGAACCATCACCATGGTCACCATAGTAACCGTTTCATTGCCATGGTTACATACTAATTGCCGTGGCTGTGTGGCTCTGCCCACTGCTGAAGCTGTGGGCCCATCTGAGGGTACGTGCCATCATCTCTCCAGCCCAGGCCCTTAGGCATCTCATGTTGGGGAAATGGGACCTCACACCTCCCTCCCCAGCCCGTCCCCAGGCCGACGCACAGCTGCTGGCCGTGGCCAGCCCTCCCGTCCACTCGTGCCTTGCTTAGAGCCAGAGGGGATGAAGTCAGGGTATCTCGGTCCCGAGGAGGAGGAAGCTGGAAGGGCCTTCCTCGGGTTCTGTGCGGGGCTCCCTGAGGAAGCCTGAGCCGGAGAGGAGCTCAGAGGAGGGGACCCTGAAGTCCCGCCTCCGGAGGGGATGACCGTGGAGCAGAGGACGAGGCCTCCGGCGGCCTGGCTGCAGTCCTTCCGCCTTAACACTAAGCCCACCGCCCCGCCCCCTCCAGTGCTGGGCCTGGGTGCGGGTCCAGGCTGGGTGATTCTCAGTATTTGTAAGCATCTCAGCAGAACAATAAAGTATTTGGCGTGTGATTCTGGGAGGCTGAGTTGTGTGGGGCCCTGGGCTGAGGTTCACGGGGTAGGAGGGTTAGTTCTGCCCCACAAAGCAGGATTTCCGCCTGGTGGAAAGTTCCAGGAGGGACCCAGGGGCCACCCATGGCCTCCAGAGCCCTCCCCTGCCCCCCTCCACTCTGAGGACTGGCGGGAGGCCCAGGAGGGCATGGGGTCCCCAGGGATGGAGAAGGACGAGGCCGAAGGCAGGGACGCCTGCACACGTTTAATGAGGCGGGAGCTAGAGCCGGAGGAGGAGCTGAGGCCGACGGGGCAGGGCCGTCACCGCAGCAGGAGGCTGAGCAGAAGGGCAGCTGCGAGGCAGAGGGGCTCCAGGAAAGCTGTCTGGGCCGCAGAGCTCAGCCGGTCGCCGTAGTGGTCCAGGAGCATCAAGACCACGCCATTGGTCCAGCCGAACCCCTCCTGGAGAGAGGGTGGCCAGTGGCGAGGCCTCAGGGGAAGGCCCCTCATCCTTCCAGGCAGGTGTGGGGTCCCCTGACCTAAACCCGGAAGGTCTAGCCCAGGGGTGCCAGGCTCCTCCCTGGGCACCCTCCCCCATGGGAGAACAGGCCTAGAGCGGAAGGTCAAGGTCAGCTGTGGGGAGAGCAGAGCCCCATCATTCCCTGTAGGGTGTGGGCCCACTCACCTGGACTTCATACTCCCCTCCGCCACCTGGCTGTCCACCGCTGCTGATGTCATACTGGGGACAAGAGGACAAGCTGACCCTCACCCCTGCAGTGCCCAGGAGTAGCCACTGGGGGCCGCCACTGGGCCTGGGGTTTGCAGAGCCTGACAATTCCCCTTCTCACCACGGGGAGGCGCACTGGCGGGTCTGGCTCAAGGCCAGCTCACCTCTGAGTCTCCCACCCCGGCAGTGCCCGGGAATGGCCACTGGGGGGCCGCCACGGGGGCCGGGGGCCTGGGGCTTTGCAGAGCCTGACGGGGAGGGGCAGGCCCCCCCTCCCCCCTTCCCCCCCCCCTCACCTTCTCGTACATGGCTGACGTCTGGGAGTAGACACGGAAGTTGGTTTGGATCCAATTCTGCGCCAGCTGGAAAGCCACCTCCTGGGTCCTGGGTGAAGGAGACCTGGCCAGACCTAGGACACCCCGAGGAGGGCCTGAGGATGCAGAGCCCATCCCAGGGGCGCAGAGGGGGACAGGGCCGGCCTGTGCCCTCCTTCCAGGGACCGCGGGCCACTGGCTCTGACCGGGCCTGCGGCTGGAGAGAGAGGACCCTGGGACACGCCTCCCGGCTCCTACCTCTGATGACCAGGTCCTGCAGGGGAGCCCAGGCGTTGGGGTAGTCCCACTGCTGGCCCGTCTTCCGGAGCGAGGTCGGGACTCCGTGCTGGTAGGTAAGGATCTGGCTGTCCTGGAAGGTTCCCGAAGGCACTGTGACTGCGGGTGGGGCTGGCGGGGAGCCAGGAGGCAGGGCCCCCCTAAAGCAGAGGTTCCTCTCCTGGGCCTTCCCGTCTGGGCTCACAGCTGCCCCCTGGTGGCCGCAGTGGGACCCGCAGCTGAGACCCAGGAGGGCGTGGCGGCCACTGGCCAGAGCTCCCTGCTGGCTCCTCACCTCCAGGTACTTGAGGGCCTGGTCCGCCATGGTGGGGTCAGAGAAGCAGCCGGCCCAGAGAGGAGCCAGGTTGGTCGGGTAAAACTCGTGGTTCTTCTTTCCATGTTCGAGGTCATAGTCAAACCAGGCCCCTTTCTCCTGGTCCCACAGGACGGCCTCCAGGGCGGCCAGGCGCCGGGCCCGCAGGTTTCTGTACTTTGTGGCTTCAGCCTCATTCCCTGGGGGACACGTGATTTAGATGGAGTAACGGGCCTGCCCTTGGCCTCCTGCTGTGACCCTCAAGGGCCAAGAGGCCATGCCCACCTGGAGCCCGCCCCACCTCAGGCTCCAGGACCCGGAACTCCCTGAGCAAAGGGGCCCTACGGCTCCCGGCCAGTGCGGCCCTGTCCCGGCTCATCCTCCGAAGGGCACTGGCTCCGCTCGAAGGGGAGAAGGGAGGGGTTTGGCACGACCTGCCCCGTGAGAAAATGGGGGAGTGGAGATGCACGTAGGCCCCCTGTGCACGCCCACCCGGGCTGCACGAGGGGGCAGGTACCATCGGGCTGCAAAGCGGGAGGCCCTTCACCCAGGTCCTCCTTCCAGCTCCACCGCCAAGGCCGAGGCGAGGCAGGGCCCAGCCAGACGCGCCCAGCCTCCTCCCGCAAGCCGCTCACCCAGGTCCTCCTGCCTGGCCCCTCCCGCCCGCCCGCCCGGCCCCTCACCCAGCTCCTCCACCCAGCTCCTCCTGCCCGGCTGCTCACCCAGCTCCTCCCTCCCGGCCCCTCACCCAGGTCCTCCACCCAGCTCCTCCCGCCTGGACCCTCCCGCCTGGCCGCTCAGCCAGCTCCTCCACCCAGCTCCTCCCTCCCGGCCGCTCACCCAGGTCCTCCACCCAGCCCCTCCCTCCCGGCCGCTCACCCAGCTCCTCCACCCAGCCCCTCCCGCCTGGCCGCTCACCCAGCCCCTCCACCCAGACCCTCCCGCCCGGCCGCTCACCCAGGCTGGCGTGGAAGCTGCTCATCAGCCCCTCCGCCTGGCACAGGAAGGCGTTGAGGTCCACAGGCACCAGCTTGCTGGTCCGGATGCTGCTGAGCGAGCTGGGGTCCGGGCTCCCGATGAGCCAGCGTGAAGAGAAGTCCCAGCCAGACTCCGCCCCCGCCTTGAGCTCAGCCCACAGAGCCTCCCGGGCCGCTGTGAGGGGGGACAGAGGACAGAGGACGGGCCTGACCCAGCGGCAGGCCCCCAGGCCCCAGCCCCCAGCCCTCCCTCCGCCGCTCAC